ACCCACCACTGAAGATCTCCAACATTTTTAGTTCATGGTGGCTTGTAAACTAAACTCCAAACATCACTATCAACACTTTAATTACAGTGTTCTAAACCTCTATCATTGTTGTGGGAAAATGTACTTTTTGGCATTTCCATGTACCTTATTTAAGAAGAAAAAAGTTTTTATTTAATTAATTAAATTATTTTGCTAACAAAATTTTACATTCATAAATGTAAATTTACCAATAAGAAACACAACTTTAAGGTGTTGATGACTGAATTATGCTTTATATTAGTAGTATCAGAGACTATCTAAATAATAAAGCCCTACGCACTTTAAAACTTTGTGAACTCTACAAGGTATTTATTTGATTATTACATATGTATATTTGTATTTGATTTATGCTTACCCGCTGGCATATATATATATATATATATATATATATATATATATATATATATATATATATATATATATATATATATATATATATATATATATATATATATATATGTGATGATATAAAAATAAAAAATAAAAAGAATCACCATAAACACTTAAATATTCTCTCCATGGTGTTTCCACACATTGTGTGTGTGTGTGTGTGTGTGAGAGAGAGAGAGAGAGAGAGAGAGAGAGAGAGAGAGAAAGAGAGAGAGAGAGAGAGAAAGAGTTTATGCGAAATGCAGTTTGACAAGAATCACTCTACCTTTGTTACCGTGTTCGTTCATTGAGCTCTGGATCATGTCGGTCATTGAGAAATAAATGCTGCCATCTAGAGGTACACAAAACGTGTAACCAGTAAAAAGATGGATGCTTTACGGGTGTTTAATAAGTACGAACCAACCTGTAACCCCTTAGAACAAGCGTGGCCAACCCTGGAGAGCACTTCCTGCAGATTTCAGTTACTACCCATATCAAAACACACCTGATCCAATTAATTAGGACCTGAACACCACGTGATAATTACTAGTGTGTTTGATATGGGTTGCAACTGAAATCTGCAGGAAGGTGGCTCTCCAGGAACAGGGTTAGAGGGTTGGCCACCCCTGCCTTTAGATTTCTTCTTTTATTTAAGCCTGTCATTCAAAATGTCCTCTTTTATAATTAAATGTTCACACAAAAGAACATTTTATCATCATTTACTCCCTGTTACTGGTTTGCAACATTTATTTCTTCATGTTGAACACAAAAGAAAATATTCTGAAGAAATCTGTCACCATTGACTTTAATAGTAATTGTTTTCCTCTACTATGGAAATCAATGGTTACCGATTTTGGGCTTTCATCAAAACATTTTCTTTTAGTGTTCAACAGAAGAAACTCGAGTAGAGAGTAGTATTCATTTTCTTAGGCGAAGTATCTCTTTAGAAACACCAGTTTAAAAAATCGGAATCTATTTTATTATTCATCTGAAAACCTTTTTAATTTAAATTAATTTTTTATATCTTTAAATAGCCGTAATAACACAATTCTGAGTCGTTAAATCAGCCTATTTAATTTTTGATTGATCTGCTATTTGTTGTATTGTGTTATTATGTTGTGCTGAGTATTACACTCATTCATTCATTCATTTACGTTTTGGCTTAGTCCCTTATTAATCAGGGGTTGCCACAGTGGAGTGAACTGCCAACTGATCCAGCATATATTTTTACGCAGTGGATGCCCTTCCAGCCGCAACCCATCACTAGGAAACATTCATGTACACACACACTACGGACAATTGAGCTTATACAATTCACCTGTAGCGCATGTCTTTGGACTGTGGGGGAAACCGGAGCACCCAGAGGAAACCCACGCGAACACAGAGAATATGCAAACTCCAGGCACCAATGGCAGGCGATGACTGATCCTCCCCCCCTCAAAGCGGTTGGGGGGCACAAGCAGCATGCAGTGCCCCCGGGGGTCACCAATGGCATGTGTGTTTAGTGCGTGCGTTTTACCAAGTCAGTGTTGCTAGGGTTAAGAGTGGGGTGCCTGGGCGCTGCTGGTAAATGGTGTAATGGTAGCAGCGGCCGGTCACTCTTCCCTAGCCTCCAGAGGGTCTAGCCCGGGGGAGTGTAGAGGCATGAGGGTGTCCCCTTTTCCCCCTCCCCAGCCGTCCAGCCTCCACCACCACCCCATCTTGGGGTTGGGGGTTAGGGTTGTGGGGGGTGGAGGTCAGTCGTCCATTGCTGGAGGGAGAGGGAAAGCAAGATCCACCACCTCACTTGCTGGTCAGAGCGATGCCGGAGGCAGTCAGTCGAGGGTCACCAACGGCACCTGTTTGGCTAAGGGAGAAGCAGCAAATGGCTGCCCCCCACCCCCTCCCCGAGCGCTAGTCCACAGCTGGGTGGGAAGTGACCTTTCAGGCCACCCAGAATACTGCGCACTAGTCACAGGTTATCGCTGACCTGCCGTTGAGGTTTCAGGAAGCGTGCGATTTTGTGGACCCAGTTTTTTTAATATTTATTTATCATTTTACAATAAAATAAACAGCACAATTGACAAAAAGAATATTCAGCATTGAGTAGCATCAGGGTATACAAATATAAAAACATGTACATCAACAAATCCAGTTTATATTTCTAGATTAAAACAGGAATCAAATAACAGCTTGTGGATGGTCAGTGTGATAACAAAGAGTATTTTGTAGGCTCAGGTCAAAGGGTTGATAAAGGGTCCATAAGGTTTCTAAAAATACGTGTTTTTTGTTTTTTAAGCTATATGTTAAATATTACACATGCAGCGTGTCATTTATGATATTTTTAAATAAATCCCCAAACGACAGGGCAGCCCCATCACCGAACTAACCCTGGGCATATAATAACCAGTAAGAGTGCTCAAACCCGAACACACAAATCTACAAAAAAGGCTTGTCATCTCAAAGACTTACAGTACTAGACATTAGGGATGTAACGGTATCAGAATTTCACGGTACGATAATACCTCGGTATAAATGGCACGGTACGGTATTTATTGAATAATTTACAGGAAAAACAAAACTAATGAAAAGGCTCGAAAAAAGTGCTAAAAGTGTTTATTTACCTTAGCACTGAACATATCAATGACATACAAATTAGCCATCTATCTGAAAGTTTCGAAACAGGAACTTCAATTTTTAGATTTTAATAACAAAAAAACAAACCATATAAAAAAAATAAGTTTCAATTTAGTATTGTTGAAAACTCATCACATTCAACATTTAATCACTCACTCACTTAGATAGAGATGAGTGTCTTTAAGGAAAATGATCATATAACTATAATCTGGTAAAAGCTGGGATCTCTGGGCATGTCCCCTGCAACAGAAAAAAAACCCTCTCATTTGGGACTGAGGTTTCTGGGACAGAGAGATATGATTTAGCCAAGGTTGACAGCAGTGGGTAACGCTGTGCATTGTCTTTCCACCACTTGAGAGGACAAGCCATGAGTGAGATAGAGATCTCTTTGTGGTACAAATCAATGTCTGCATCAATCTGAACAGTGTGCTGTGTTCTGCAGTCCCCATGCCTGTTTTTAGTCGTATTCCCCGTCTTATATTTCACCACAGTCTGGCAGTGCCTGCATACTGTTTTTTTCTTTGTCTGTCACCTTTTCTCCTTTTTCGTATCTTTTTAGAAAGAAACCGAAATGCCTCCACACATTCGATTTAAAACCCTCTTTAGGTTCGATCATTTCCAGCTCTTTTTCTTCCCCGCTACTAGCAACACACTCCATTTCCGCATTACTAGATCTGTAGTGACAACAGACCGCAAAGGATGATGGCCACGCCTGGGCTGATGGGAATTGTAGTTCCCGCTACCTCCCGTTCGCTTCATTCGCCTGAGCAAACTTTTCTCAGTAATATAGTTTTATTGAGTCATGCGCCTACGGTAATATTAAAGAAACTTACTATTGCGGCATGACGGTATTTACAATATTGTTACATCCCTACTAGACATTATAGGAATATAATACTTAATTAGCAGAAATATTTCCTCAAAAATCTGAGATATATTTTACATGTTTTTCGAGACGGAATATTTTATTTGTAATTATTAGCATTTGTCGGTTTTAACAAGACATTTACACCCCAAATCGCTTATTCATTTTAGTCCGATCCATATAGTATTACTCACGACTGTCTAGCCAATTTAACTCTAGAACTCCTCAGCGTCTTCGAGAGATGAGAACAGGTGGATCTTTTTGTCATGAAGAATTCTATCCTGGTTGGATAAGGAATCCACGGTACATCCCTTTCTCAGCAAACAGTTTTCTGGCGTTGTTGCATAGTTTCCACTGAAAAACGGTCAGAAAAGTACAGCCTGCTTCCATCGTAGGTGATTTCTCTGCGTCTTGTTGAGCGTAATATAAGTTCCTTATCCTAAAATTTAAGGAAGCGGATGACAACGGCCTTGTGTTGGTCAGGTTTAGCTGGAGCTAAAGTCCTGTGGACCCGCTCCAGGGTGAACTGTGTGTCAGGTGTCATGTTCAACCACTGAGACAGCATGATAAAGTCCATGAACGGTTTTGATGCTTCTGCATCCTCTGATAAACCAAAGAGTCGAAGATTCTTTCTCCTGCTGCAGTTTTCTAAATCTTCCACCTTTGCTTCCAGAAGATTCAGGCATTTAGATGCCGAGGTAGTGGAAGAGTCGACTGTATCCAGTCGGCTTTTAGCTGCCACAACGCGCATCTTAACATAACATCTAACATCTTAACAGATGAAGATACTTCTGTTAATCAATTTTCAATACCATCCAGTTTGGTTCCAAGCTCAGTTCTCAGTGCTTTTAATTCTGCCAACACGTCTGATGTATCCGCCTTGACAGCCAGATCAAGATCGACCTGAGGTTTCTGTTTTTCCCCTCCTGTTCTACGAGCTCAGGTAAAAATGTAAAAATGTCACACTGTTTTGGAGCAAGATGTTTGGACATACTCAGATTGTTAATTCCGATCGGAGTTAGTTAAATTTACAAGGGTGTTATAGATTTTGTCGGAGAGAATCAATCAACCAGCCATCCTCGCCAGAGCCACGTGACCTCCCCATGACATGTTTTTTTTTTTTTCTTTTACTTACAAGACTGATAAAATCACAGGCAGAAATCTAATCATGCAACCATCTATATTGTAAATGAAACTGTAAAAGTATCATATAGTAAACTACTAACTTATCTACATTTCTCAATCAGAAATCCCGTAAAATGTAGTTGTCACAATGATCTCCAGTCGGGTTTAAGACTGAAACTGCATTAAAGTTAAAAATGACTTGCTCTTATTATCTGACTATACTGTGCATCTACATCAGTATTGCTGGATCTTCATGCAGGTTATGGTGAAATATGCAGATTATTTGTTATAGGGGCTTGATAGTGAGCGTCAGCTCTTTGCCCAGTGGAGGGACAATGTATTTCTCTTCTCTAAGCAAACGCAGTAATAGGTCCTTTGAATCTTCCGGCCATCGGTACAGACGAGTGCTCTGCAGCCACAGAGGAACGTGAGTCTGCAAGAAAAGTAGAGTGAAGTCAGCTCAAATAGGTTAAAACAGGACAAGTTTGTAGCATCATCTCCTATTTTGAAGGAAATATCAATAAAGGATTTTGCGTTGTAGCAATTGTTGACATGTAATACTAATATTGACTGAGTGTTACATTATACTTTTCAGAAGCTGTAATTTAAATAAGCCTGATATGAATCACTAATAAATAAGCCTGATATTCATCACTAATAGGGATACTAAAACAATTAGAAGTAGGGCTGGACGATATGGCAAAAACTTATATCACAATATATTTCTCAATTTCGGTCGATACAATATCATTCCGATATCGATATGGACAATATTAAAAAACCAGAGAAAAAAACTGCCAAGAACTCACACAATGGATGTCTGTACTAACAAATGTCTTCAAAGGGCACCTAGTTTTCCCCTTTTTTAAGATTTAATATTAATATTATGGTTCTTCTGAGTGTGCCAGTTTAGGTTCAGTTTAACCAGCCTGATCTCACAAGAAAACGTAAGTATTTTACGTTTTCGCAGTTTAGTGGCTAATTCGTACGAATTCGTACGAGTTCAGTCGTAAGAAAATGTACGATTTTAAAAAGGAGGCGTGGCACCTAACCCCACCCCTAAACCCAACCGTCATTGGGGGATACACAAATCGTACTAAATTGTACGAATTAGATCGTACGAATTTGTACGAATTAGCCACTAAATGAAAAAGTTACGAATTGCCGTGAGATTGTGTTGGTTTAACACACAGTTCAGATTTACCTTTTTAATTTAACAGGGTAATTATACACAAATATACATAAACAAGACAGATGGGACCTTTAATGGACGTTCAAGATGAAAAGCAACCAGAACTATGAATATACTCAAACTACTCTTTTATATTGCAAATATCAATGTAGCCTCAACTCTTTTTGATTTTTTTATTATTATAATTATTATTTCTTTTTTACGATGTGGATGTCATAATTGCTAGCCTGCTTTACTGAGGTTATGTTGGATTTATTTTCACACATTAGTTTCAGCTTTGGAAAAAGCTGGCAGTAATAAGTGTAATCCCTGCATCCCACTGGCTAAACACGAAGCAACCGCTTTAGGACAAAGTGAATGTCTCCATGAAAACATCAACAGAAAGCAGCAATCCTTGCATGCATGAAATATTGCATATTATCACAAGGTTGGCTCGCTATACAACTGATACGTGCTAGATATAATACAGTTTTTCAAAAAAGTTCAAGAAAGGTTCGAGTCATTGCTGTGGAAATGTTTTTTTTTTGTTGTTGTTTTTTTTATGAACCAAAAACTATTTGCACATTTTTTTTCAGAATGACTTGCTAAATCTCTCCACTAGGTGGGGATGCTTCCCTTCTTTTTGAGTTTGACTGTGTTGCCCTGTATTGCTCAATGATTGCACGTGGAGGATCGTCATTCATTTGTCATTTACAACTAATTTAAAGAGCATCATGTATTGTTAAAATTACTAACTGAAATACTATATGATCAAGAAAGTTTAAAATAATTTATTTGCCATATTAAAAAAAATGTAAAACTGTTTTAAATAAAACAGAGCAGAGTTCATGAAGCATTGCTGTGGAAATGGGTTATTTCCTTTATGAACAAGAAACTATTTTACACATGCTGTCTCCATCTTACAAATACAGTAAAACGGCAGCCAAGGCAAGACCATCACATTAGTCTATTTTAATCTGTTTTCACTGTTAATATGATGCTTGTACATTTTAATTGGACTTCAATTGGTTTAACCCTTAATCATCCCACAGGGTCAGGGGGACCCCAATGGATGTTTCCTAAATTTTTATACATGTTCATGGGCATAAAACATTTGCTAAAAAACACACACACACAAACGACCCTTAGAAGTTTGCTTCTGTTAATTTCCTTCTAGTTGTGCTGTTAACTTCCATGTACGATCATAGGCATCTTTTAAAAATACATACGAGATTAATTTTAAATTATGCTATATGTAGATAAAACACCTATTTTCAGTTATTAATTCTAATTCCCTTAATTCTAGAATACTGAATTTAAAGTTTTGAATTTATCCATCTTGAAAACCTGAAGCAGTATTTGTACAAACTGTATATCTGCAGTTTATGAATTCAGAAAAAAAAAACTGAAGCTTGAAAACTCGTCTTTAAATATCTGATTTCAGATGTTCAATATTCAAGTTACGAAATTCAAATACAAATTAAAAAAATTCAAATTCAAAACAGCATTTAATAGTCAGTTTTGATCAATTACAATTGTTTACAATTAAAGTTAAAATAATTCAGATTCAGATTCATTTTCAGCATATTTACCATAAAGGACAGGCCTAATTATATTATATCTAATAATCCACGACGTTTTCATATATTTGAGAAATGCAGCGAAAATTCATCCTGGCTTCTTTTTATTTCTTTATAACTTGAATTATTTACTCGGGTACATTTCCGTTTTTTTCTTGGGCTCGGATTCGTTTACAAATAACTAATCAGAGAGCTCTATTTAGTTGACGGCCGATGCAGATTCCACGTGTCAAATGAGAGGCGATGTGTGGAACACACCAAACCAACTAGCTGGACAGACGCTGACTGACGACCTGATGCTACTTAATGCAAAAGGCTGTTGATTTCATTGCAGTGATTCAAGACTAAATGAATGAAACGACTCGGTCTTCAATTTAATAAAACAGAAACCTACTGGCAGATTAAGTTTCTTATTTAGAGCATTATTTCTTTAGCCTACTTTTTTTATTTAATACAAAAATTCACTATTTAACTAAAACATAGTTCACCTAAAAATGAGAATTCAAAACATCAATTTTTGAAGCTGTTATAATGTTCTGTAAATAAAGGTTTATAAAACTATTATGCGTAGAAATGTGCTGAAACAATCTTCTCAGAACAGAACAGAAATTGGTGAAAAAAAATAAACAGGGGCGC